GTTCTGTACAGTACTGTCAAATCCTTTGGCCAAACTGTGTCTTGTTAGTATGGGTCCCTGCACAGATGAAGATTTCAAATCCGTCAAGACACAGTCCTGTTCAGAAGAACATAATTCTCCATCTCCTACCCAACAGAGCCAAACCCCTGAGCAAGAGACACAAGCACTTGCTCAACAAACCCAGAGCCCCGATCAAGGCAACAACACATTAATCAACAACTTACTTAGCACACGATCTCAGGAGTGTCAGGATACGTTCAGGGTGTGTGGATCTCAACAAACCGCTGCCAAAGAGCTAATGGAAAAAGGAGAATACTGTAAAGCCTTATCTGACCCAATTGCTAAATTTTGTCTTGTGGACATAGGCAGCTGCACGGAGGATGACCTTGCATTTGCCAAGAAAGCAGTATGTACAGAAGACGTTTCACCATCCACCACTCCACAAACACAGAGCCCCAGCCAAAACAACACTGCGTTGTTCGAGCAAATCCTAAAGACAGTACCCGAAACGTGCCAGAACAGGTTCCATACTTGCGGCTCTCTAAATCCAGCATCCAAAACACTCATCGAACAAGGCCAGTTCTGTACAGTACTGTCAAACCCTTTGGCCAAATTGTGTCTTGTCGGAAAGGACATTTGCACAGATGAAGATTTCAAATCCGTCAAGAAACAGTCATGTTCTCCTACCCAACAGACACAAGCACCTACCCAACAGACACAAGCACCCACCCAAAAGACACAAGCATCTACCCGACAAACGCAGAATCCCAACGAAGGTATCAAGTTATTCGATCGCATACTTAGCCCATTACCCAAAGCGTGTCAAGACTCATTTCACACTTGCGGTTCTTTGAATCCTGAAAGTACAAAACTCATAGAACAAGGCCAGTACTGCACAGTATTATCAAACCCTGTGGCAAAACTTTGTCTTGTAGACGTGGGTAGTTGCACAGAGAAAAACTTTGAATACGCAAAGGGGGAAGTTTGCAAACCACGGGCCGCCACCTGTCAAGAGACAAACATAATCTGCCCGAAGGTAGACAACACGGCACAGACGGTGAAAGGTGACGGAAAGAGCGTGCTTGTTTCCGTTCTTGTACAGGTCCCCTAATTGTAACACAAACAAAACAACGCCACTTTAAGGCACAGGATGTGATTTTCAAAAGGGAACTGTGACCTTGTTATGTTGTTGTTATTGTTTTTTTGGTTTTTTAAAAATCTAAGCAGACACATTCATCCAGTATATCTAGTGATCTATGACTATCAATCAGATTACCTCTTTACATGTATGTCTACAAATCTAACCATGTTTCTGTCCGTCTACACTTTCCATTATGTCTACATGTAAGAGAAGTAAAAGGAAACAATAAGGGCCAGTTTTGACTAGAGTTAATTTTCTAATTTGTTTTTAGAAACTACATGCACGTGCATGTATGCCAACATTCAGCTGCTTTCAGCTACATTCCAAGGCCCAGCAGTTTTTTCCCCCATCTCTTACAAAATGGAAGGGTCAACAGCATGCCCTGGCACCTGTGGTTTTATGCGTGTCGAATGTTTGGACCTTCATCTAAATAAGTGGTATGAATGATTGAGACAGTATATAGAAATACAAACACTTTAAAAGGAATGTTAAAACACCTAAATACACACCCGCGCAAGCAAATGCGCATAAACACACGTACGCACACACACACACACACACACACACACACACACACACACACACACACACAC